AGTTCAGCATAGGGAATACAGGGGTGGGCAAAGCTAGGTTTACAGTTGTGACTAGGTGAAACAGAGTTTAGTCTTGTATTGTTACTTATTTTCCATAGAAACAACTGTAAACCTATTTTTGTCCACCCCTGTATAGTTAATAATACTGTGATAACTGGGTATGGTGTCAAGTGGATACTGGAAATATCGGGGGGATCATTTTATAAAGCACGTGATTGTCTAATCACTATGCTACACACTTTAATACAAAATAATATTGAAAGTAAACTGTAATTGAAAAGTTTCTTTTAATGTTATTAGTATTGATTTTCTTTTCACTTTTAATTTAATTTTGGTGGTTGGAAGTGGGTGGTTGAGAGGAAGGAGACCAATTTTGTGTAAAATGAGTCTGTCGTCAGTTACGTGAATTGGAGATGAAGGTGAGAAAACAGGGACTATTGCTGTCATTTGTTTAAAGCAATTGTGTGCCCCGGAAACTACTTTCCCCCTGAAATACTCTTCAGCGAGTGCGTGAAGGGGAGAGGGCAGTTCTGTTTGCCACCATTTCTGTCAACTGCGTTTGGATTATGTCCTTTCAGTCTTTAATGTTTGTGTAGGTTTCTTTTTTCCTCTGGTTTATATACTTGTCATCAAACTCTAAATGAACTTTTCTTATTAATAGAGTAGATATTCTGAAACTATTACTGCTTTACAAGTTAATATAAGTAATGCATATTTTGAATATCCATCCGTATGCATATATTGTTGTACTATGCATTATAGTGTTAACGTAGCTTATGTAAGGCTTGTTGGCCAAGGAAGCAGAACCTCCTAACCTTCCCAGGGTGCCTTCTTCTAGGGCTTCCTACATTTTGTTTGATTTATTTCTGTGTCCTTTATCCATAGAAAGCATGCCTTTTTTTTCCTAGTTTCCTTCTGTTCTCTTTCTTCTTTCTTAAAGAACTTAAACCCATTATAATTCATTGTTATTCAGTCCTCTGTGCTTTAAAACAAAGACTGTGTATTCACTGTGTTTTTGGCAGATGAAGACTGCAGTCAGGGCAGTGGATCTCCTGTTGACTGCTTTGAGTTCTTTAAAAATGTATTCCAGTTGCATTCATCTTTTCAGGACCCTAAATGGACAGAGACAATTCCTATTTAAAGTACATGCTGACAGTGATCTACTTAATGCACACTTCTCCACCTGTCTTCCCCTCCCCCACCCCTGAAGCTCAAGCTACTCCAAGGCCTGAGCTTGTCCACCCACCTTTCTCCATTGACTGACCAGGATCCTCAGTTCCCATGGAGTAATAACCAGACCAAAGGTGCTGTCATATGTATACTCGAAACCAGGTGTTTAATCATTTTTTTTCCATTGAGAAAAAGTTAACCTCTTTCTTTTGATACAAATAAGAGAGTTCTTTGCAATTGAAGAAATGTTTACCTGAGTTTTTCTAATGAAAGTGATTCTCTTACTAGGTTAACAGTCTCATATGAGCGATAAAATGTATATGAGAAACACATTGTAAAGCATTTGCTGCTCATCATGCTCCCTTGTGAGCCCTGTGGTTCCTGGTTCTCAAATTTGAGATTATTCCAAATTTGGAGAGCTTTTTAACAGACTGCTGCCTCCTCCTGCCACCCCCAGTTTCAACCTCAGGAGTCTAGGGTGGGCCCCTATAATTTGCATTTCTAAGATGTCCCCTGACACTACTGCTGTGGGCTGGGTTGGTCAGGGCACATGTAGGGAACCACTGCTCTGGCCCTCAGATAACGAACAGATTGGATGCAAGTAGCAGGTCATTAAATTTCCACAAGTGGCTGTTGACATGGCTTCACAAACTGCTTGGAGAAGCACGTGCAACAGAGTCCCACAGGGCAGTACATATAGTCATATGCTGTATGCAGAGGAGCAGACTGGCTTCTCTTCCAAACATCTCAATTTTTATTGCTTCTGCTGTGTGAAATGTGTCCTACTTGTAGAATGTGTAGAATTAAAAGTTGATTTGTGAACTAAAAATATGGCAAACTATTTCTAAATCAGAGCCTATAAATAAACCTGCACATTTAGACATAAAAATGAACCATTAAGAAGCAGTGCTTCTATCATTATAACTTCTTGATTGGATTACACCTGACATCAGCACACCTGAGAGCAGAGCCCATTTTTCACTTCATATAGCTTGCGTAATTTCTTACCACCTATTTTTAGGAGATCTTGCACTGCCGGCTCAAAGTGGTAACCCATTTCTGAGCTCTGGCTTCGCAGTACTGTGGCTGGCAGGTATCCAGGCACTTAACACGGTAGTTTGTCTGCCTGGGTGCTGTGCAAGGTGGTGTGCTGGTAAGGGCATCCCTGGCAGGCAGCATGGAAGTTCAGCCATCTCCTCTTGCCATTCCACCCACTTCAGAGGAGCCATAGCTGCAGCCCCTGTTTCCCAGCCTTTTGAGAAGTGTACCAGACTGTGCTTCATGGTATCTTACCACTGGATCGGTATCTCACTGCCTCCCCCCCCCACCCTACCAGCCCGGTCTCACACTTAGGCAAAGGTGCTCAGCACCTGGTGGGCTGCTGAAGCCTCAACCTTTGGCCTCTGCTCTCAGCACACCTAGGGGAGAAGGGTAACTATGGGTGGAGCTTATCTTCAGTGGACTCAGCCTCTTTCTTTAAGGCCATACTTACTCTTCATGTGGGCCTCTTGTGGCCAGATGGGGTGTACAGGCAAGACAGGGGTGGAGCATTCAGTCTTGTTGCTTTGACCTCTGAGTTGGGTCTTGGCCGGTCAATGGCCCATGCCCCACGCAGCCTGCGAGAACTTCTGCCCACACTGGTTCATACACAATCAGCCGGAACCCAACCATTCTCCCTTTCCCACCAGCATGCTTAGAAACCACCAGAATTACTCTGTTGTCATTAGCAAGTGACAAGAATTGGACCACACTGCCTGGGTATGTCACCTCCAGCTCTAGGAAACTCAGGAAAGTACCCTTGAGTAGCATAACTGTGTGAGTACCCCTCAAAATTGACCTGAGACTCCACCATTCTGTATACCTGCATTGTTTCATTTTGTTAAGTGAAGGGTTTAGAGTAGAAGATCTCTGATTCTTCCCTTCAGGATTTAAATTCTAGTACATTGTAAGAGAATGTTGATTTCATCTGGAGAAGCCTGGAGAAGTGATGTAAATTAAAGCCACACTGATAAGAAATTTGTCCTTTTTCATCTCTTCTCCCATTTAGCCCCTTGTACCTACCTTTCTTTCTCCTCACTGCAGAACAGTGAACTGGCATGAGTAGTTCTGAATCTCAGGACGGCTGTTCTTTGGGGCTGGCAGGATCAGGAGGATGTGCGGAACATGGGTGCTTTATGATAACAATTTAGTGACTTTGTATTCTCCCTCTCACAATCCTTACCAGCTAGTGTTTCCAGCAGTTTCAACTTTGCTACTGTCCTCAAGATGGTCTCGTTCCTTACGTATATCAGCATAGTTTATTGCATGTTTGCATAGTACTCTGTATTCATTGGTTTTAGGTGGTAGACTTCTCTAGAGTAAGGAGCATATCTAATGGACTCATTTTATAATAGTGACCTCTGTAAATAAGTGCTTGATCCATTTTTATAATTTTGCAATTTAGACTCATTAGTGCTGCACATTCTCATTGCAGCCTGTGAACTGGGAGAGCTGCATGCAGTTGGATCCATGTCAGAATGACACAGCTGCTGTTCATGGTTGTCTTAATAGTACACTAAAGGTTTTAATTTATTTAGCATCTGAATAAATTCTCAAGATTTTATCGGATGAACTGATTTTTTTTTTTTTAGAAAAAAGATTTTATTTATTTATTTTTAGAGAGAGGGGGAGGGAAGGAGAGAGGGAAAGAAACATTAACATGTGGTTGCTTCTCATGTGCCCCCTACTGGGGACCTGGCCCACAACCCAGGCATGTGCCCTGACTGGGAATCAAACCAGTGACTCCGTGGTTCTCAGGCTGGCACTCAATCACTGAGCTATACCAGCTGGGGCTTTACTGATATTTTGTGTGTGTGTGTGTGTGTGTGTGTGTGTGTGTGTGTGTGTGTGAGAGAGAGAGAGAGAGAGAGAGAGAGAGAGAGAGATATGGTTCAAATTATCAAAGAACTTAAAAATTTTCTTTGAAACTACTCAGAGGAAGAGGCATTTGATTGTAAAGAGCAAGCTTAGGGGTATATGAGAAGTATGAAGAGTTACTGTGAGAAGAGCTACTGTTGGAAGACTTTTCCCATTCTTCCAACTCTACCTGTTGGTCCCTTGATAATTGGAGAGATTTTGGAAACTTGTCCTATCTCACCGCCGACTAGCTCTGTGCCCTGGAGTTGATCTACTAGTCTTCATGTGTAGAAGGGGGTTTGGAGCTTGGTGGTTTCTAAAGGCCCTTCAAACTGTCACGTTTTTTTAATGCTGTCAATTCTCTCATGGTAAGATGTGATTTCTTAAGTAACAGGATAATTTCAGCATAATGTTTTTTAAGATAGAGAGAAGCGTGGAGTAAGTCCTCATGGGTACCCATTGCTGGCTTCAATAGTTACCAGTTACAGGCCAGCCTCGTTTCATCTAAATGACCCGCTCTCCAGTGGCAAATCCCAGCTATCAGTTCCTTTCATCTGTAAATATTAAAGTAAATATTTCAGTAACGATAACTCTTTAATATTATCAAATATCAGTGTTTAAATTTCCCCACCTATTTCAAAAATTTTATTTAAAATTGGGTTGTAAAACCAAGATCCAAGTAAGGTATGTACATTGAGGTTGGATCTATTTATTTCTCCACTCTTATTTATTTTTATTATAGTATTTCTTTATTATTTTGATTATTTATTTTTAAAATTGAGTTTGATTTCTTGGGATAACAGGTTTTTTGTCCCTTGGGTCTCCCACAGCTGAAGTTTGCTAACTAGACTCCGTTTAATATGCCCTTCTATTCCTTGTGTGTCCTGTAAATTCCTTTCGGATCTGGAGCTGATTCCAGTTTGATTTTCTGGCAGGACTTTTCCCTGGTGCTGTGTGTGCTGCCATTAGGAGGAGGACACAGGGGCCAGCAGCCTTGAGGATCATGCCTGCTTCCATAATTTACCAGGTTTGCAAAAACGGTGACATTTGAATCCTCTCCTTCCTCTTACATTCATTAGCCACATGGGAGAGAGCTCAGTTGTGTCAAAGTACATCCACACAGGGACATCTTGCCCTCTTTTGGGCAGTTTTCAGAATAAATAATTCTGGTTCCTCATCATCCATTAGCTGCCAGTGAGGCCGTTTGTTTGTTTGTTTGTTTGTTTGTTTGTTTGTAGAGAACTTATGAGCTGATGATTTAAGATAGTGCTGAAGGAATTTCACGCCATTTACATCCTTGTTGCTGCTCATGTTGGCCACTACAGCCAGTGCCAGCTTCGTGTGGTTGCCGCCACCTCCTGCACACGCTTGTGATCTCTTAGCCACGAAAGGTCAGAAACTGCAGGACTTCAGACTCCTTTGGTCAGTCCTCACCCTCAGGTCCCTTTAGTTGGAAATGGAGTTGGGGGCCTTGGGTTGGGAGTTAGGAACTCAAATTGCTCCCGGGTCAGTCATTGTATCTGGGCCTTTGTAGTGGACAAAGGTAATTTTGTTGATTTTATTTTGTTTTGAGCATATCTGCTGTAAATTCAAACTGATATTTCTAATTCACAAGAGAGTTTACTTTTTTGATTTTATATTTGTACCCCTTTTATGCTGAAAATTTTTGTCTCTAGAAACAAACATAATTATTTGTTTTATTATCCTATTTATACAAAACATATATAAACATTTAGAGTAACTCTACCAGTATTATTATCAACAATTTCACTGCTAAAAATAGCTGAAGATGCTTTGTCCCATAGGGTTTATCCCACTAGGGAAATACAGTCAAATTGCTGTGTTTCGAAGTCCTTCGGCGTGATTCCTCTCTGTACTTATGCCACCAACTCATTTCATAATTTGGTCAATGTTTTTCCATCTGCTTTTGATTTTTTAAGACTTAAAAAAGTTAACATTGGTTTGTAATTGTGTAAAATATAACATGGTTTCAGAGCCAGAAGAAATGTTCTTAGAGAAATCTTGTTCTCTGTTTTTACCTCTTACCCTCTTTCCAGCCTTTCCACCCTCTTCAGTCACTGTTTTAAAAAGGATTCCCTTCTTTCTCTTTTTACTTATTGCTTTTCAATGCAAACAAATACATATATCCATAGCTATACTATTTTTAACATTTCTTATTTTATAAAAATAAGTAGCAGCCGACTTTACCCAAACTAGAGTTTAAAGGTTATCTTCTAACTATATGGCATATTGTAACTTAATAAGTCAGACATTGGGTTAAACTGAATGTGCTTATTTATTCAGTTATTTTGGAAGGGGTAATTATAGCAACTGCCACCTAAGCATTTTAATAATATTCCAAAATAGTTAGAATATACATTTATATTCCTGTGTTGTTTTTGCTGTTGAAGAGAAAAAAAACCCAGAAAAACTTGGTCTTTTTAATTTGCATGTACTCTAGTTCTGAGGTTCTCAACAGGAGGAGTGCATCCCCCAGGGGACATGGGGCAATGTCTGGAGATGTATTTGATCACCAGACGTTGGGGGTTGATCATTTTTACAATTTTTACAATGCATGGGATGGCCCACAACAGAGAATTGTCAGATCTCAAATGTCAGTACCGTATGTCACTTATGAGAAACCCTGGTCAGTGTCAACCAGGCATTTGAAAACTTACGTCATTTCCCACGCCCTCCCGCCCTCCTCCTCTCTTCCATTCCTCCTCTCTGCCCTTTTTCAGTGTAACTAGATATTTACATCTAGGACTTTGGGAAAACATAAATCATATAAAATGAAAAGAGATGAACACATCAATGGTGTGTGCTTTCTCAGGCCTATCTAAACAGAAAAATAATTCTGTACTTGAAAGGTTTACTCTAGTATAAATCATATGTTTAAGCAAGTATTTGGGGAAAGCAAGTTTTGCCTTATTACAGGTATCAGGAACACAGGATTCCTCATCAGGTGCATGTTCATGGAACATCAGCTGGTTTAAAGTGATTGAAGTGGACTTCTGATGTGTTGGAGCCACTGTGGCTGCACAGTTGATCTTGGCATGCTCCCCACTGATGAAAGGCTCCACTCAAAGGCACACATGAGATGGGGAGGTGGCAGCTTCAGTGCTGTTTTATCATTGATGACATCCAAGGGAACTCTGGGGAAAGTGTAACTTTTCCTCATTTCTGTACTTTCCATCGCCTCTTTTTAGTATCTTATGAAATACTCAGCTTCAACTAAAAAGAGGAGTAAATACTTAAATTTCATTGTGGTTTTAATGTGATTTGGGTGAATGGGGGCCATGCTTTTTTTTTCCACATGGGGGCCACCTGTTGGGGTTTCAGCAATGTGCACTTGATCTTTGGAGAGAGATGGCCTGGCAATGTGAGCACGGGGCACAGAAGGCATGTGTTGGGCATGGACAGTGTCTGGTCCTGTGATGTGACTTCAGTTCTTAGTTTTCCTTTTGCATTTGGTAATGAAGAGGACCTAGTAGCCTAGTGGTGAAGTTCCTAACATCACTGCTTTTCTTTTTTTTCTCCTTGTTTCCCCACACTTTCATCAAGCAAATTGAATGAATTAGAAAAAAACTGAAAGGATAAATTTCACTAAACATTTTACTCGTGAGCTTCAGTGCTTATTTGTGGTTGGTTTGTTGCCTTTAGTAGAGGTGCAGGTGTGTTATGATGGCTACAAGTGTGGTCTTTCAGAAATAAATTTAATTATTAAAGCCCCCTATTTATTTCATCTTTGTGGCCCTAACATAAAAATTTATTATCTGTTCTAGGCCTTTGACCAACATCTTACATCGCCAACCCTTTTCTTTCAGCATTTCCCCTGACCCCCAAGAAAAAACTTGATGTTGATTTATATGCCTTTTGAAAATACCCCTGTTTCAGCCTTTATACTAGTTTTTGGTGGGGCCCTTTAAATATTGACAGGGTGCTGAAACTGGTGTCATTTTTAATTCTGCACACAAATAAAATAGTTTGTCGAAGTCATGGTTCTAGGGACTACCAGCTCAGCAGTTGCCATGTTGTGCAGAGCAGGGGCAAAAATTGTTTGCGTTTCTTTCCAGGAAGGAAATGGTGCTGGCCAGATCAGGCAGGTGGCAGTTCCTAAATACTGCTGTGCTTGCCCGAGGGAAACCCCGCTCCGAACAGCGAACAGCGTCTCAGAGACTTAATGGTTGACGGGGAGCAGCCTGAGTCCTCTGTTAGGATTCCTGTCAGGCCTGTGGGCAAAGCATATAGTAATGGAAGAGCGGGGAGTTGCTGGGTTGGCAGCAACTCCTAACCGAAACTGGACTCTTGATTCTATCTAAGTTAGGCTCAGGCAGAGACCAGGTCTTTTCTAACTATAGTCAATGCAAACAAGAGCCTTAAATGTGGAATCCCATCAGCTTCTGCCATCCTGTAGGAACAGAATGCTTCTAGAAAAGAAAACCATTTCATAAATTTGGCACTGAAAAACTCGGCAATTTGGTGTGGGCTCATTAATTTGTGGTTTGATAAGTTTCTGAAGCTACTGATACTAAGTGGCAGCTTTGAATCATCCTAAAATCAGACTATAGCATGATGAGCTGTATTAATCTGATTCACTTCATTTCCTAGGAAAACAAAATTATAACTGCATTTTCATTAACTTACATTTGTGGTCCACCTACTTTAGAGTCAATATTAAATTATCTTTACGTCCAGTGTTTTTGAACATAAGTAATCTGTAAAATTTAATATTCTGAGTTAAGTTTAGCTTGTTTTAAGACTTGTTTTTTCTATCTATTATTATTTTGCTATTATTATTTTTGCTAAAGTAAACTTTTTTTTTACTTTAAAGAGTAATGCATACTATTTTTTTTAAAAGGCAGTGGATTTAACCATTAAGAGAAGGCTTTCTCCTGTCCGAGGTGCCCAGACGGCCTCATCAGAGATAAGGCTTACGGCTCTCTGGTGTGCATGCCCAGAGTGTTCTGGAAATATCTAAGTACCAGGTCACTCACGTCATTTTGTTTTCTTCATATTTTTTCCCTTTTCCTTGTAATATGAAGAGCTCTCTTTATTCCTTATTTTTAAAAAATAAACAAACTGAATTGCATACTTTAATTGATAGATTTTTATGGTATGTAAATTATATCTCAATTTAATAAAAAGTAACTGTAGGGTTTTGGGGCTGATTAGAGAGCTGACCTGAAGGGGGAAATGCTTTTGTCTTTATCTGGTCACGTATGAATAGTGAGGTCTCCCAAATATCTCTGTAGTTTGGATTAGAAACATTTTTATTTGGATTATGGATTATTGAGACAAAGAAGCCTATGGTGAACCCACCAAGATTACTGATAACTAAGTTCATGTGGGTCATGAGTCTCAATGATGATAAACTGCAGGTATGTACTTGGAAGCAGCTTAACCAGGCAGGAAAGTGGAAGTTAAATTTCTTCAAGATCAGATTATATTCGACCTGAAGGTTTCTTACTTTATTTTTCTGAGTTAACCATATATCTTTGAAAAATTTTCTATTTAAAACTTAGATTTCTCCTTTCTTACAAGTGAATAGCACTTCAGTATAGAGAGGTGGTTTATTTAACTGTGTACCCTGATGGACATTTAGGCTGTTTTCATCCTGACGTCCTACTGAATTGCTCTCCAGGGAGCTGCCTAATTTTGCAGTGTGTCAGAGAGGACCTAATCTCTTGCCACCTTCTGGATGTGCTGTTTTATCACACCTAACTTTTTTGTTAGTTTTTTTTTAATTTTTACTTTTGAAATAAATTTTGGCTTATAAAATGTTGCAAGAATAGCACAAAGAAAAAAAAAGAATAGCACAAAGGATTCCTCTACACCCTTCATCTAGCTTCCTCGGATGTTAACATCTTAAATTACCGCAAGGATCAGACAAGGAAGTTAACATTGATACTGTGGTATTATCACACTTTCTGATCTCTGACAATCTAATGGGTAAGAAGTTATAGCTTAGTGTGATTTTAGTTTATATTTATTTTATTCTGAGTGAAGTCCAGCAACTTTTTGTAT